GGAACAGGGTTAGGTGGTGGTGGTACACATGTTTAATTCCTGTACTTAGAAGCAGATCTCTGAGTTAGAGGCCAGTCTGGTCTGCAGAGCAAGTTCCAGGACAGCCAGGACTACACAGAGGAATGATGTCTCAAAAAATCAAAACAAAATAAAATAAGAAAAAGGGAATAGTTGTTTTGTTTTTTTTAAAAATGAATGAAAGCTATAGTGTGTGTCTTAGGGTTATTTAGCTATTGTTGTAAAGAAACACCATGACCAAAGCAAGTTGGGGAAGAAAGGGTTTATTTAGCTTATTTATACTTCTGTATCACCGTTCATCATTGAAAGCAGGCAGGACAGGAACTCAGGGACCTAGAGGCAGGGGCTGATGCAGAGGCCATGGAGGGGTGCTGCTCACACTTACTTGCTCCTCCTGACTTGTTCAGCCTGCTTTCTTATAGAATCCAGGACCACTAGCCCAAGGATGGTACCACTCACAATGGACTGTACACTTCCCCAAATCACTACTTGAGAAAATTCCCTACACCTGGGCAGTTAGGGAGGCATTTTCTCAGTTGAGGTTCTGTCCTTTTAGAGGACTCTAGCTTGTGTCAAGTTGACATAAAACTAGCCAGCAGGGTAAGTTTTTTCTTGTGTGCTAATAAACAGACTCACTTGTCAGACCATGGCAGCCACTATCCCAGTAGGCAGTGCCTCTCTGACTGTGCTAAGAAGTCTTCAGCCAAAAGCTTTTGCACAGATCAAATACAGTAGTTCGTTTTCAGAGAATTGAAATAAGTGTCACCAATAGAAGCATAGTAAAGTCTCTTGAATGAAATTAACCAATGAATAAGTGATTTTTTATATCATAGATTAAACCCTCTTCCTTTGCCATTTTTGTTTATACAGACATGTGTACAGTTAGACTAATAGGCACAAATACAATATTCTCAGTAAACAGTTTTAATACGGTGATAAACTAGAATAAAGAAAATTAATAGTCTAATGCCAGAACTATTGTTTTGTGTAGTATACTTCTATAACAGCTGAAGTAATTAAAAAACAAAATAATAGTGGCAAATTTTAAGTTATCTTGTGTGCTTTATTGCAACTAGAAAGGTGGTTTCATTGTTGAGATGGAGGTTTAACCTGGCATTATTTTCTTTCATATCTGTTTGTAAGTGAATGGTATATATTGATCTGCTGTAGGCAAAGTCATCACATTGTTTTAAAGTTTGACTCTTAGGGGCTGGAGAGAATTCAGTGGTGAAGAGCACCCATCACTCTGACAGAGGACCCAGTGTCCGATCCCAGCACTCACCAACAGGTGCCTCTGCAGTGTCTGTGACTCCAGTGCCAGGGGATCAGACACCCTCTTCTGGGCTCTGCAAGCAAATGCCTACATGTATGCCTGCACACAAACATGCACAAGCATGCATACACATATACATATATATTCACACTTTTAAAAATTGAATCTTAAATCCTAGCTATTACAGGTAGTTGGAAATGTCTAGCTCCGTCTTAGAAAGTTAGAACTGGGGACTGGAGAGATGGCTCAGTGGTTGAGAGCATTGCCTGCTCTTCCAAAGGTCCTGAGTTCAATTCCTGGCTACCACATGGTGGCTCACAACCATCTGTAATGAGGTCTGGTGCCCTCTTGTGACCTGCAGACATACACACAGACAGAATATTGTACACATAAATAAATAAATAAATAAATAAATAAATAAATAAATATTTTTTAAAAAAGAAAGAAAGTTAAAACTGTTCCTACCTTTACACAAATGCCGGGAATCTGAAAATTTAGGACTTTTGTCAGGGAGCTGAAATTACAGAACAGCTACTCCAAGAAATGTGGTGTGAATATTTGCATACCTAAGACAGACAAAATGAACACCAATCAATGAATGCAGTTGAAATTGTAAACATATTTGCCAAAGGCCTGGTTTGGATAGTATGAAGTCGTAGACTTTAAGAGTTGTGGAGTTAGGGGTACAAGTTACCTACCAACAAGCTCTTTCCATAGTCTCCATCAGAGTTTTAGGACTGAAGGTTGAGCCAGTGTGGAGATACTGGGAAAATGTCTTCCTTCATTGGCTAGCCTTGGAGGAGAGGAACAGTAGCCACTAAGGAAAGCTAGGAAGCCCAGAGCCCTGTCTGGATTATTTTACCTTTATTTTTTATTTTTTTAATTTTTATTTTTTTATGGTTTATTTAACTTTATTTTTTATGTGCATTGGTATGAAGGTGTCAGATCCCCTGGAACTGGATTTTCAGACAGTTGTGAGCTGCCATGTGGGTGCTGGGAATTGAACCCTGGTCCTCGGGAAGAGCAGTCAGTACTCTTAACTGCTGAGCCATCTCTCCAGCCCCTGGATTATTTTATTACTTAATTATTTTCAAGACAGTATCTCAACTCTATATACCCATAGCTGGTCTTGATCTGGGAACCCTCCTGTCTCATCCTCCTCTATCCTCGGGCTGGGATTATGGGAATGTACCACCACACCTAGAGCCTCCTCCTTTCTTTCTATCAGACAAAGCCTTAAGCATTGTGTGGGAATGGAACCACAAGGACACCTCCTAATCCTGAGGGAGGAACAAGAACATTGGTGTGTTCCCAATGTTAGAGGGAAGGAAATAGCAGAGAAGGACATTCTGGAACTCAGTGTTTGTTTAAAACAGAGGCTTAGTTCCACCACCACCCCGCCACCAGCGGAGTAGTGTAACAGTGGAGTTCTGTGAGAGTTCCAGGAATATGCAAGGAGGCTATAGGAGGGGCAGCATGAAGGGGAAACTCAAGCTTGGAGATCAGCAGCCACTGACAGATACTGCTAGAAAACCAGACTCTGTCCAAAACCCATGGAATGGCTTAAGGAATTGGAAGCTACTGGTTCATTATGGGTAAGGGTAGCAGAAGAGTTTGCTGACCAAGCTCACATCCTGACTAGATTGACTCAATCTCTGCATGCTTGGCAGGAGGAAAGGCGTTCCCATTTCCAGGCATACAGCCTGTTCACCTCTAATTCCAACTGTCTGACAGACTATGTCCTGCTTAAAAAAAAAAAACAAAAAAAAAAACACAAAGAGACAAAAGAAAACAATACACTGTTGAAAACTAGGACAAAGTCCTCTTCCTCCTCCTTGTGTTCTTCCTCCTCCTTTCTTCTTTCTAGACAGTTTCTCTGTGTACTTCTGGATGTCCTGGAGCTCAGTATATAAACCAAGCTGGCCTTAAATGAAGAAATCTTTGACCTCTGCCCCCTGAGTGCTGGGATTGAAGGCGTGGACTACCACTTACTGGCTTGAACCAAATTCTTAAGATGCAGATATTTGAACTAGAAGATACATAATTTAAAATAACTGATAACCTTAGTAACTGATAATGCTGTCTAGTAGAAAAGGCCAGAATATTTCATCTAAGAACATGAATGAGAAGTGTGGTGACAGCTGAAGTAGACTGTCAGTGAGCACGGTGACCAAGGGAGATTAAAGCTGACATAGAAACAGAAGTGTAGAAAAGAGACCAAACAACAACAACAAACCCACAAAAACCAGCACCCTTGAGTTGTAGGACAATATCAGATGGTCCTGATGTATAATTTACATCTGAAGGAGAGAATGGAAGAAATACTTCAAGATCAGGGGCCAAGATTTTCCAGAATAGCACCAGGATAAATCATGAGAACACAAGATAAATCATCCCTCTCCAAACAAGCAAAAACACAGAAAAACATCCAACATAGTTTAGACTGAAGGTGAAGAGAAAATATTGAAGACCGTGAGAGGGGAAAGAGTCATTATAAAGGAACAAATAATTACAGCAGAGCTCTATAAAAACTATGTGCATGTGTGTGTATGAGTGCGCGTGTATGTGTGTTTAATCCATATTGAATGACTGTTGCATTTGTCTTCCTTTTCTACTTGTAGATTCAATTTTTTCTGGCTCACTGTTTTTGTGTATGGGTGTTTTGCCTACATGTATGTGCACCACATTTGGGCAGGGCCATGGAGGCCAGAAGAGGGCATCAGAGTCCCTAGAATTTGAATTATAGATGGTTGTGAGCTCCCATGTGGGTACTGGGAATCAAATCATGTTTTTTCTGAAAGAATAGCCTTACCTACTGATGCGTCATATAGCTTGCAGGTGGAGTGTGTGACAACCTATGGGAACGCCAATGGAAAAACTCGGAAAAGGCATGTTGGTGTAGGGTTGGCATGGCAGTCAGGCCTGCGCAGCAGCCTCTGCACTGTGGTGAGCGGGAAGCCTAGTGAACTACCTTGAGATTCAGGAAGGAATCTTTGCTGGATCTCAGAGTACGCACTGAAGACTTGACTGTCTCAGGTTGTGCATGTCAAAGGAATGCTGACACGGCAGTTAACAAGCTTGTATTAAAGCTGTATTTAGGAGGGGAATTAAAGGTGCAAAGAATTTTTGTTTTGTACACGTTCAATAAGAGAACAAAATACTGAGGATGGACACCTACCTGCCTTTCTCCTTTGTTTCATAAGGGCTATTTCTCAACTTACCCTAGATTTGTTTTTTTTTTGTTTTGTTTTGTTTTCCCTTTTTGTCACTTACTAATGCCTCAGTTAGCAGATTTAAAAAAAAAAAAGAAAAAGAAAACTTTTTAAACACGATGTTATAAAGCTTGGGGGCCCCATCTCGTCAAATGCTGCTTTCATATCAGTACAGAGGTGGAGTACATTGAGCTCAGGGCCTTGAGCCAGTAGTTGAAGAATTTGCCCCAAAAGGAGGAACTAATTTTAAGACTAAAGAGTGTTAACTGCTTCTCTTTCTGTTCTAAGAGATCGGGCTCACTGGTGACTGTCCTGCTGCCTTCAGATCAGGCCCTTCTGTTGCTGTGCCCAGCACTGGAGTAGTCTTGCCTTCTCTGTCTGTCTCTGTCTCTGTCTCTGTCTCTCTCTCAACTTGGACCACCAAGATGCAGTGGTCTATAAAATGTCTATGGTCAAATAGAAAATGACTACAAATAGCTACTGTCTTGTTGATACAGAGTTCCAGAAACTGTGGAGGAGTGTCACTGTGGATTCAATGGATGAGGAAAAAATTGAAGAGTATCTGAAACGACAGGGTATTTCTTCCATGCAGGAATCTGGACCAAAGAAAGTGGTATGTCATCTTTAAACAAGCAGTTCAGTCCCTTCTCTGCTCCTCGTCCTGCTCTCTGACAAATGAGGTGGTGGTTCCCTCTACCAGGTTTTCTCTGGGCCAGATACAGGCAGTGAACCCACCCGTAGGGATGCCGCCAGCAGAGTAACTTGAGCTCCAGCCGCATTTCTCACCTCTGATCCTCTATACACTTTCTCTGGTGTCCCCCGTCCCCCCCCCCCCACCATGGTTTCTCTGTGTAGCTCTGGCTGTCCTGGAGGGTTACACAGAGAAACCCTGTGTGTTTGGTTGGCCTCCAACTCACAGAGATTTGCCTGTCTCTGCCTACTGAGTGCCGAAAGGTGTGCACCACCACCTCCCGGCCCTGTCCCTGATTTCCAAGGGGAGCCGCATCTTCATCTTGTTGGTCTTTGTTAGACTTCCGTTGTCCCTCCTCTGCCCTTTCATGTCGATGCCCAGATGGATCTGTCATACCCTGATGATACTGAATTGTCCTTTTTTAGCAACCATGTATAGTCTTTACATTTTTTAATGTAGTGTTTAAATTCTGCTCATAGTGGATATTAAAATGAAGGCTGGTAAATCCCTCGGTACCTGTTAACTACTAATCTTAGTCTAAGAACAGCCAGGACAGAATGAATTACCAATACTCTAGACTTAGGGCTCTGCTCGCTCTCCTTACCATGCATACTGTGTAGCTCCCCCCCCCCCTTTTTTTTTAAAAAGTGACTCTAAGGGTCACTGAATAAAAAGATTTATTGTTGCTGGACAGTGGTGACACATGTCTATAATCCCATCACTTGGGAGACAGAAGCAGGCAAATCTATGTGAATTTGACGCCAGCCTGGTCTACAGAGCGAGTTCCATGACAGCCAGAGCTACAGAGAGAAACCCTGTTTCAGGGTAGCGGGGAGGGTATACGCATGCACGTGCACACATACAAAATCCTTAATACTTGATTATTGTTGATTTTGAGTTTTCTAAAGTGGTATTTCAGGTATACAGAATAGAGAATATTGCAAAGCTTCATGTTCCTATGCTTTTTCTAGTTTTGTCATTTTTCAATATTTTGCCATATTTTCTAAAGCTCATTTTTTAACCCGCTGAGTAGCAAGTCCTTTTTAGACATGGTAGTGGAGACAAAGCACAGAAATTCCTTGCCTCTGATTTTACCTACTTAATGGCCACCATACTTGTGTTACACTTTAAGTCCCTGCCTGTTCATTGCAGAGGAGGTTTGTCCCTTGTGGTATCAGGGCATCAGACTTGTTGGAGGCTGTGTGCGCTCTGTGATTGGGGTGTGTGAGGAGACAGGTCTTTGCTGCTGGTCTCTGAACTTGTTCAGTGAGTCCTAACCATCGTGTCTCCTGGAGTCACTGTTGTTTACTCTCACCTTTTCCTGCAGGCCTCTATTCAGAGAAGGAAAAAGCCTGCTTCACAGAAGAAGCGACGGTTTAAGACACATAATGAACATTTGGCTGGAGTGCTGAAGGATTATTCGGACATTACCCCTGGCAAATAGGGAACATTTTTATCCTCGAGCAAGGTTACAGATACAGTCAAGATCTTTCGTGATGCTTGGGATCTGAAGACTTTCTGCCTTCCCATCTGCTCCTCGGGACTGAGAGGAGCATCAGTTTACAGAACAGGAGCAGATTACCAAACCCAGCTATTGTCACCCAGCAGGCTAGTGGGAACGGTTCCTATTAACTACTGGGTTGGTTGGTTTTATTTTTCTAGAAAGACACTTAGCATGGCATGCAGGTGTCTTTGCTATTTATCTTGATTTTTAGATGGTTCTTGATTCCATGCTTTCTCTATTGCTTTAGAACAGGTTGGCAGGTAGTGCTGAATGCAATATTTCTTTATTCCAAGAGAAAATATTTATAATAAAAGTTTGTTTGTAGGAGGATCTTTAAGAAGTTAGGAAATTCAGTTTGCCTCTCTTAATTTGTGAAAATAGCAGGGAACAGCCAGTCACTGATTGCTAGGGTGGGCATTTGGGCATGAATGTCTCAGAGTGGAGTCAGTACTGCTGGCAAGTGTGTGGATTTCCTCTTTGGAACACAGGGTATGACTCTGGTGAATAAGCTAAGCAATAAAATTACACTAAACATAATTGTTAATGCTTTCTTTAAAAAGGCTAAATAAGTATTTAGTAAGCTGGATTCATGATTTGCTACTATCTTTAACAAGGATGAGGAGACTCTTCTTGCCAGCCTGAACTTGAGCTTCACCGTAGCCCAGCTCTCCGGTGGCTATCCTGGCCATTCTGGTGGAGGGACCCTTTGTCACCTGTTAGTGGTCCAGTTCAGTGAGAGCCATTATTATCAAGCATGTGTGAGTTTTTAGGATTTTCACTTGTAAAGAAGGCATTTTCTTGCCTGTCCTTTGCTATGACTTGCCCCGCTCCTTTGAGTTGATTATCACAGATTTTCTCTCTCCCATTGGAATGGTATTGTTGGAATATAAAAACCAAGTTTAATATTCTCAAACAAGGTGCAACAGTAACCCAAAGCATGGGGCTTCTGATGAATAAGTCTTATATCCATCTCATGTCATCTTACCTCCGAACTCCAAAATATGGTCTAAGAAGATGTCATACTGTGGTTCCCATGTAATTAGAATATAAGAGATTTGCCATCTTGCTTTGTGTTTGAAGGTTTCTGCTAGTAAGAGTATGGTGTCAAGGTAGTAAATTAGAACTTCTAATTTCCCCGTAAATTAGAACTCACTTATCTCCCAGCAGATGCCTCCGTTTGCAAACCATGTTCTCAAAGCCACATTACGGGGAGGTCTGCAAGTGCAAGACTGTCTCATAGGCCTCATCTGACGTTATAAGGAGGCAGACTTCAGGCCTCCTGGACAGGTAGGTGCTCAGATACATGTTTTACTGCCAGGCCTGCGTCCTACTCACTTCTAGCTAAGCCTGCTCTCGTTTGTGCTTTAGGTAGGTACTGGTCTGATAATTGATCTTAATTTCTTACCTCTCTTCACAGAAATGAAGAAATTGAAATCTAGAAAAATAAAGTATCTTGCTAGTTACTAAACTTATAAATTCTATAATTTTGTTTCATTCATTTGCATTGTCTTGCAAGTATTGTTCCCTTTGGCCTATAGCCTGTGTATTCTCTCTGCTGAGGTCCTGGGATAACATCTGGGGGTGATATGGGTAGCAGACAGCCCTGTGGGAACCTTGAGAGCCTGGTTGTGTTCCGTGACTAATAAAAAAGCACGGGCTCTGGCAGCAGTTCTGGGTGACTGAAGACTCCTCCAGCAGTTCCAAATGGAAGTCTTGATCTCACCTCTGCCAGTTGCTGCCAGATCTGCTGCTATTTAGAAGCAAGTGGGAATGGGCACGGTTGGGAGAGTTAAAAGGCTGAGACAGTCCTCTGTGCATCTGCTCTATAATTCATCACAGTAAGAAGCTTTTAGGGGCTAGTTAAGAGAAGTGTAGTTGAGCGTAGACAGAGTAAAAAGTGAACCTCTAGCTGCTGCTGTCACAGCCTGTAAATGTGGTCTGGTGATGGGCGGACCCAGGGGATGCAGAAACACTCGATACTGGTTGATTTGAGTGCTCAGGGAAAGGCAATGTAGGAACTTCAGTTCCAGTTCTTCTGGGGAGCCTGTGAGTGTGCAGCCCAGGATTTCTCTTGTGAGCTTTTTTGAAATCAGAAGAGTGGAAGCATGTTCTGACTGTGGGCACTCAAGGGACAAGTACATTTGTATTTATGGACTTTATTATTCTTGTAACAGCAGTTATCTGAGACATAGAAGATGAAACTTGGTGTCCCCTTTTCTTTCTAACTATTGCTTTACTTTGAAATGATTTGTTTTGTGAAGGGTTGGGGTTTTCTCGGGTTTGGCTAGAGTCTAGTGCTGTGCCTAGGGACATTGCTGTCTTTGGAACTGCATGTAGGGTGGTTGTTTCCCAGTGGGTGTGTCCTGAGAGGTCAGTAGATGTTCACGAGAGGAGAGGACCAGTGGGGACTTGGAAACCCTCAGACTATGTGGAGTGCTGGCTCTGGCCCGTCTGGTGAATTTGGGGAGAGCATGCTGTGGAAAGACAAATTGGAATAGGTCCTGACTTTGTGGCACTGCCTCTCTTTTGGCTGTAGAGCTAAAGCACGGTTTTCTTCATAAAAGAAAGAAATACATGTGTCTGGACCATGACTGTACCACCTTAACCGTGTCTAACCTTGGGAACTGAGTGTGATCTGGCATGGTTAACATTCGCATGGGGGAAGTAAGTCTCTCTTGAGCAGATAGACAAAAAGGCCCCCTGGAAGTATAGGCTGCAGTGTGGGTTTGGTAGTTGGTTAGTCCATTCCTATGACCTCATGCTTTCAGGACTGGTGAAAGGCCAGTGACTTTCACCTTGCCAGAACACTGCATGTACACAGATCTGGGTTCAATCCCTAGAAACGAAGCAAAAATAATAAGGATGTCAACGTGATAACTGGCCAGGCGCTGGTGGCACAGGGAGGCAGGCGGATCTCTGTGAGTTCAAGACCAGCCTGGTCTAAAAGAGCTAGTTCCAGGATGGGCTCCAAAGCTACAGAGAAACCCTGTCTTCAAAAACCAATAAAAAGGACCAGTATTTTAGAGAATGTCACTAGTCACTGACATCTTCTAGCCTTCCAAGAATGTAAATGGTTTTGTCATAGAGAATATTAATACTAGTTTAAAAGCTGAAGAGGGAGAGCATTGTTTATGCTCGTAAACCAGGGGAAAGCGCTAGTTTCAGTGGACAGTTAGTTGTCAGTGTTGGCTATGCGTAGCTCAGGTAATGCTTGCAGCCCTGTCTCAGCGTTTCGGGTGCCAGGACCTTCTCCACCGCGTCCTGCCCCTGGTGGGATGGGGCAGCCCCAGTTGCAGTCTCGTGAAGTAAGGGGCAGATATGCAAACACTCGGAGCAGTAAATCTGGAGCACAGAAGTGATGAACTAGAGGTGTTCTCATTTGGAAATTTAGGATTCACAATACTCATTTTATGTTGAAATTTAGTGGGGGCATTTAATTCTAGATGCTAGTGTTTTATAGTCTTGTGTTCCTGGGAAGAGTCCATTTTGCTGCTACCATTCTTTTGAAGCCTGTACAATTAGTGAACGAACAAACCAGTGTACCTTTTTCCTATTCCCAAGTTACCGGTTCCCAAAGACCCTGCATTCATTTCTGCTCAATATAGTGACAGATGATAGTCCAGAGGAAAGTTAATGAAGTGGGTAGACTGCTTGCTTGGTCAGTGGGAGTTTCTCAAGGGCTTGCACCGGCTTGGGACACACAGCTACTCAGTGCATCTCAAGGCCTATTGTGGAAAATGCTTACAGAAGCGACTGTTTAAGGGCGGGGCTAGGTTAAGGTATGATACTCCATCAGTGCCAGCTGTGTGGTAGTCTCTGGTGCCTTAGAGTTGGAACCTCACAGGGAGGCTGAAGACAAAGCCACGCGGTTAGTGTGCTCTATAGAGCAACCTCAGGCATACTGCAAGAGCTGGAGGGTGGCTGTGGAAGCTACACTAGTCTCCAGGAGGGCCAGATGATCAGAAAGCAGTTAGTATGCCTGGTTTGGATGGATGGTCTCTGGAAAAATAAGCCATGAGCTGAAAATATCCGTGCCGAAGACTGAAGGTCACCAGTGACTGTTATGTGGTAAGAACAGCTCGGAGGTGAGATGGGCTGGATGCAGCTCAGCTGCTGTAGCATCCTTGTGATCTCTACACTGGGAAGGGAGACAAGGGGAGATCAGAAGTTTGGGGTCATCCTTGGCTACACAGCAAGTTTAATGTAAGCCTGGGATCCACAAGACCTGAGGGGGGGGCAAATCGTGGGAGTGTATAGAATACTGATATCTTGGTTGAATCAGCCACCATATTTTTCTAGATTTTGAACTTTTTTGTTTAGAAAAATGATTGTTTTTTGTTCGTTTGTTGTGTGTGCGGCTGCCTGAAGACGATGTTGTATCCCATGGGTGGACCTCAAGTTACTAAAAATGATTGTTTTTTGTTCGTTTGTTGTGTGTGCGGCTGCCTAAAGACGATGTTGTATCCCATGGGTGGACCTCAAGTTACTGCTGTGAACCACTAGGTGTAGGGGCTGGGCACCTAACTTCAGACTTCTGCAAGAGCAGCAAGCTCTCCAACCTATGAGCCACTTATCCCTAACAGAATCTGACACTCCCCCTTCCCCCGACAGACAGTATCTCACTGTGTAGCTCTGGCTGGCCTGGAACTCACTATGCAGACCAGGCTGGCTTGAACCTGACATCTGTGTGCCTCTTGGGATTTAGGGCACATGCCACTCACTGTGCCTGGCAGAATCTTAGGTGAGAGTGGACGGTGCCAACTGAGCTGAGTTAAAGGTACTCAGGTGTGTGGAGCCCTCGGCGGCAGGTGGGTATGCTGTAGTTACCTGACTCCCACTCTGAATCATGCCTAGTTCTGCCACTGCCTGGAAATAGAAATCTCTGCATTGTTGGGCGTGATTGGTTGATGTTGTGAATAAGTTCCCAGACGATCATGTAATAGCTGGAATAAACTTTATTATTTTATTAAAAACGACAATAGAAAAGTACCTTTACACAGTTTATAAAAGCATAGTCAGTGGTGAAGCGGCTCTCCTTACAGCAAGTAGTCTCGGAGCCGAGTGGCACGGAGGGCTTGAGCAGTTCCTGGACACTAGTGTGGCTGTCTGAAGTCCCCAGCTGCTGCCTGCCCCCTTCCTCTAGTTTCTAGTGAAAAGCCCTTACTCCAGGCCTTAGTGTTTTTTTCCTTTTTCTCTTTTTAATAACCTATAAAAACTTGACATTCTGTTTCTAATGAAAAATAATGAACCCCCCCCCCACCAATGATATATCCATTAAAACATGACGTTTTCAACACAAGTAGATCAATAACAAAGATACAAAGACTGTGATTATGTCTAGCTATACCAGCAGCTGGAAATTCTCTGAGGTCAATATAGTATTACACATGGCTCTTGTCTGAGGAGCAGGAGAAGCTGCCCTGTCACCACCTCTGGAAATGTGTCAGAACACAACACAAGGCTAGCTTTGGGCTCTGAAGAAGTCTTGAAGCAAGGGTAACCACATTCATTGCAAATGACCATGGTCACATGTCCCACCTAGTGCTCAGTAGGAAGAGCAAACAGTATTCTGTAGAACATGATTGACGGTTGCCAGACTTTAGAACACCACCAGCTCAGGTCGGCCAATACGTTGCAGAATCACTTGAGATGTGATGCCCATTCTTGCCAAGGTAGCTGTGTGGGGAACCTGCTTCTCCTGAGGCTGTATTGGCCTCAGAGGTCCAAACCAAGGTCCCTCCACTTAGTGGGGTGGACTTTATCTTTCCACTGGGAAAGTGAGAACAGTTTATGGAAGATGAGTGATATATTAGGTCCCACGCTCTGAGGGTGCTATCATAAATGGTAATATAATAAATACAAGTATAAAATGGCAATACCTTACTTGGCACAGTTTGTATTGTTGCAGCCGTAGCCATGGTTTTCAGATGGTACGCTGTGCTCAGGAGACATTACCTAAGTAGTAATTACTGCCCAGTTGTGAACACTGTGATGGGAGATGCTCCTGGGGGCTTTGATTGTCTTGCAGAGCTCACTTCTACACCATGTTACTAACTGGGCAGGCAGATGGAGTCCACACATTCACAACACAACTGTGGAAATTTTGATGCTATTCAGAGACATGCCTTAAACATGCAGCTTATTTTAGAAGAAAAACAAGATAAATGTCATTAAAAAGCATTCAAAAATCAAGTGCAAAAGTGATCTAACCTAGTGTAAGAACTCCTCCCTCCATTCACAAATGCCTGCTAGAAAATACTAGCTGTCTTGGCTTTACTGTTGTCTGTGGTCCACCTGAGTATGTCTCCAAACTGTACAGAAACATCAGACCATGCATTCACAAATAACACGTATTTCTTAAAATTATACAGTGTAAAAGAGTAAAACACATTTTATTATATATATTTTTTTTTCTTTGAGGAAGATAGATGTGTGATAGAGGCTGTGGCAAAGTCTTGAAGGGATCAAAACTGGGCAAGGCGTTTTCAAACCTGAAACAGAAAGAAAACGTGTTGGAAAGCAACCTCACCAATGGTGTACATCGCTCTCGCTGAGCTTCTACGAGACAGGTAGTGTCAGCAGACGCATGGGTAAAGACTTCAAACTGGGCACTGGAGCCTGAGGCAGGAGGATCAGCTGGGGTTCCAGGCCAGCCTGGGCTACAGAGAACTCTGTCTGGAGAAAAGCAAAGGACCAGGCCAGATGGTTCAGTGGGGTAAGCACATTAATTGTCAGGTCTCATGATCTGAATCAGTGCTGGGGACTCCCGTGGTAGAGAGAATAGGTTCCTGCAAGTGTCACCTCACCTCTCTCCACATGCACTGAAGTGTGCAAAATAAAAGCCCCTTCTTTCCTAAACTTTGAAACACATGCTCATGTATTGTGCTTTGTGGTAGAATCAGCTCTTTGAGAAGAGCTTGGTTTTTTGTAGCCCAGGATATTCAAACTCCCAGTCCTTCCATCTCACAAATGCTAGGTATGTGCTGCCACTGAGTAACTCCAACTTGGGTTCTGGACTACACTCTCCAGAGCTCCGCAGTACTGTCCAGGATGCACTGTAAGCCCATTTTTGTTGTCATTCACTTTATATTCTCCAACTCCCATATTTTCTCACTGATAGGTTAGACTCGTGTTGTCAAACACAGAAAAAGTATACATACAAGCAGACTAGGATTCTGTACAGAGAAAGGCTTACGTAATAATGGCCTACAAGTTTTGAGATCCAAATACAATGGCTGTGTACCTGTGGAGCTTGGAAAGGCACCAGTGAGAAAGTGCACTGTGCCTTCCAGAGCAGGAACGGACCTGCAGGCCTGCAGCTGGGACAATAACGCTCTTCTGTCTCGGCAGCTGCTTCCTGTAAAAAGCTGTAGGAACACTGTAGCCTTTCAGTGACCACTGCCTTCTCTGTCCTCTGGCAGCAGCACTCAGAATGTTTGTCTAGCAGGGATAACAGCTAAAGCTCCTTTAGGAACCTCTCACTTTCTGTCTCTTCTTACACTTAGTACTACTGTGATGCTCGAGTCGGGAGAACCCGAATGTGTCCATCTCTAGGTGGGCATGGTGGTGCATGCTTTTAATCCCAGAAGCATGGAGTCGACATGCCAGTTCTGGCTAGTCAGGACTACACTGCCAGACCCTGTTTCAAACCAGTCACCAGAAACACTTGCAAAAAGTACCTATCTTTTCTGTTAAACCCTGATTTCTGATGTCTACCTGGGAGTGGGTAGGGCCCAGAGTTCCCACAGGCTAGGCATGCACTGGGTGGGAGGAGTGGGAACCGGGGGCAGAAGAGGACAGATGGAGTTACGTTTTAGGTGACAGCACCAGAGATTCCTTGTGAGCCTCTGGTCTTGTGGCCTGACTCACTTCCTCACATCACTGACGTGCCAAAGGAGCTACAGCTGAAGCACACTTGTCTCAGGAGGCTCCTGCCTTGCCTTGCTCCCCACAGAGCAGATGTCACGGGGGAATGAAAGCGGTTCACAGAAACTTTCCACCATCTACAAGTTCTGCCGCCTCCTGACCTTGAGTACAGTCCATCAAACCCAGACTGTCCTGCAGGGTTCCTCACAGGACACAGCTGGGCTCTGGACTAGGTCTGTGCAGCTCCTCCTGGCTCAGACACGGCCATCTTGGAAGGCAGCAAGACTAGCAACTGTGATGCTGCTTTCAGAGACCCTGAGAAAGGATCGGGAGGACGGGCAGGCTGCAGAGAGCAGGTTAGCCTTGTGGCTCTGCCTGGCAGGGGAGGTAGGCTCAGCTCTTGAACAGGAATCCACAATAGTCTTAGCTGTTCCAGTCCGAGCTGTTACCATCAGTGTCTGGGCCTGCTCTGTGGCCTTGGGCAGCTCTGTCCTGGGATCATCTTCTTCCCACCAACCCTGAGTAGCAGAAGACGATTCATCTCATATTTCTTCACTGGCTCCCACTCCCTAGGCTCCTTAGTACAACCTTCAAGTCTCGGTCTGGCTGTATTTTCCCCCTTCCTTTCCTAACCCTACTTAGTTACAAAAACTCTTATCTTTGAAAACTCATTTTTCCTAGGTCTAATCCAGAAGGGCTTTGTAGGGAGAAGTCCCTACAGAACTAGGCAGGAATTATGCTGGATGTTACTTTCTTCCCCAAGGAGCTAGCAGGGCACAGCAAAATGTTCCTTCATTTAGACACTTGGGCCCTTGTTTTAACAAGGTTGACCTGCCAGGCAGGGTCTGCACTGGAGGTCCAGCCTGGGCTACACACCAGCTCTGAGGCACCCTTCTGTGGGAAGCTAATCCCTCTGGGGCGGGGTGAATAAACCCCAGATTCTGGCTTTGTACCACTCTCCTTTCCCTCCTGCACACAGGGTCTTTGGAAGTTGGGAAAGAAGAGGGGGCAGAACCTATATAGTTTCCTGAGCTTTCCAGAACCTACCCTGGAGATGTAATTCTCACATGGGAAAAGAATGTATCCACACTGCCATCTATGTCCCAGACTGAACACAAGGTCACAATGCAGCTATTTCAGTCCTTGTAAACAAGGAAGAGGTTTAGCTCCGAACGGAGTTCAAACCCTGGAATGTGTTAACAAGGACGTTTAAACAGAATCCAAAGGCATCCGGGAACACAAAGCACCACGGAGGGACAGTGGGCTGGGTGACGAGGGGCAGATTCTTTTCACAAGAGCCCTTTGGGAAAGGGGATCCAGAACAACATGTAAGTGGTGTCTCAAAAACCAGAACAAAAACAGCTGGTGTTGTGGCTCTGTGTCAGCCTGACAGACACCCTGAAAGTTATCCTGACTTCCCGGTGTCCTCTGCTCGTGCATGAACACTACAGTTTCAAAAGCAGCAGCAGCAGCAGCCTGCCAGAGCTCCTTGTGTGGAGTAAGCTGCAGCTGGACACAAGGGAGACTGGCCGGACATCTGGCCGCACATACAATCGTAGGCCGCACATACAATCGTAGGCCGTTGACTGCAGCTGGCCCTGCTGTGTAAGCTCACTAGGACACCTCGGGGGGGGGGGGACAACCACCTGGGCTGCGTTGCTGAGCTACACCCTACGTGGCCAGGCACCAGGTAAATTTTCTCCCAAACGAATTAACTGTTTTGGTCACCTATCTGCATAAGCTTGACCTAAAAACTGTTAGTGATTTCCCTCAAAACTTCATGTCCAGTATTCCTCTGCTACCCCGATTCCGTCAGACAAACTAATTTTTATACCTTTCAACTTAATCAGTACTAATGTAAAGTGAATATTTAAAACATGTAAAGTGTTTAGTCCTCTGCAGAGACCTGTCTCCAGGTACCCTCCCTCCTCGCTCAGGTGTGCCTCTGTCTAAGGCAAGGATGCCTTAGATTGGCGACAAGAACAGCCACCACCCTTCCAACCCGTCTGTAAGCCATGGTGGTCCCGGGACCTGCAGAGCTATACACTGTCAGTGACATGGCCCTCCGTGCCTGCTTCATGGCCCCACCTGACCCACCTTTCTGAGCATTCCAGGGGCATCTGAAACTCTAGTCCTGAGCCCCTTGTCACTTCCTGCTCTTTTATTATTAGGGCTTTCTGGTCCTGGATATATCACCCGCTTCTGACACTGGGCTAGTGGACCTTGGACAACTAATATTTTGGTTGCTTTACTGCATTTAAAAACTATCTGACACGGGGGAGTTCAGTGGGACAGCGCTTGTCCAACATGCACAGGGGCCTGGCTTTTACCCCCCAGAACTACAACAACAAACAGCGTGAGTGCCCATAAACTGACCTTTAAATCACTCTAGAGAAAGGAAAATCCTTCAAAACCAAACCCACGAAGATCAAGACTATCGTGGGCACTACTGCTGAGGACAGTGACAAAGGGACCAGATTACAAGGCCATACAGCTCATGGGACGTCAGCTGCACCACAGAGCGTATCATGTATGGTGCCTAGGACAGCTTTGTGCTACTGTAGGAAACCAACTTGAGTGGGGGAATGTACATTCTGCTAGCGGCTCGCTCCGGTCCTATGAGGTGCTGATCTCAGCGTGAAATTGCTCATGCCCCCGAAATGCTGTACTGACCTCCTTGGTTGGCTGCTGCATCTCAGTCCTAGGCAGCAACATTGCCCTCTTTCTGACTCTTTTTTTTTTTTTATAGGCCCATCATAAGGAATGAAATTTGTCTCCTTATTTGGGCTGAGGCATGAAGTGTCCCGGGTATTCTGTTACCCAAAGCCAAGCTCCGCAACGTCACTGGGAGCTGCCGTCTGAGGTGGCTGCGAGCAGGCCATCCCAGGTGGTGTATATTGTAATTTCCTTTACAGACTCTACCTAGGGTTAGGCTTGGTGGTACACACCTGTAACCTCAGTTCTTGGCAGGCTGAGGAAGGAACCCAAGCTCCATACCAGCCTGAGCAACCCTGATGACTAAGATTCTGATAGCTACTACTGACTGAGAAGAGAGCCCAAAAAAGCCCCGGGACACAAAGAACCCCTGGAGAATCCACATTCGCCAATTTCAGCAGAGGCTCAAAACATGTCCCCCAGTAGAGAAATGGCTTCATTATCCTTAATGTAATTGGAGAGTTAAGAGGGGAACACGCTCACTATATCTTATTTCCAACAAACTGCTGATTTTTCAAATGACGGCTTGGGAGCTGAAGGGGAGGGAAATGCATTTTATGAAATTTCCTTAAGACGTAGTGCTCCTATCGAAAATGGAGCCAGCTTTACTTCAGCTCTGTTGTCAGGCATGATGGCACATGATCTTCCCAGCACTAGAAAGGCTGAGGCAGGAGAACCAAGGCTGAGGCTAGCCTGGGCTACATAGTAAGGTACTATTTCAAAACAAATAGCACCCACTAAGAAGCCAAACTGCTGGTTACTAGCATCCTGGCTGCCCTGAAGTGGCTTGTCAGACAACTGGACTGGTAGTATGCAGATGCCATAGGCCCATGCAGACAGAGGCTGTGGTTCCAGGAGATGCTGGTGCCCATCCTGCCCACACTGGTTGCCACCTGGCTTTGGCACTCACCAGCAAAGCTCCAGTTTTGCAGAACAGCTGGATGACAGTCGCCACCAGTGAAGATCGCATTAATACCCACAAGACAGATTGCAGCCGCCATCACACACCCGAGACCTGGGTGGACAGAGAGAGCTGTTAACTGCGCATGGCAACCTTCTCTGTGGTCCTCATGCTGCCCGCCTGGGGCCAGGAAGACCAGCCTGCTCTGCTGGGGCTGCCGAGCCCAGCTGCCACTGCGGGATGACCTCGCAAGTAGCCCAGAATGCAGGCGGGAACGTGGTCTGGGGACTTGGAACAGTGTGACAGACTACTGGGCCAGAGGCAAGGGCACTCAGAAGTCACTACAGAGACATTTAAAGAGGGGCAGGTATGAGTCTGGTTTCATAGTAAAAGCTGGGCTATTTGAGGGAGGAAACTACCTAAACTCCCCCACCTTTTGTCACACTCCCATAGTGACCAAGGGTGCCCCGCCCCCCAAGGCTGGCTGGCAATAGCAGCCCTAGGGTGCCCCCAGAGGCCCCTGGGCACATTCCAAGCCCATCTACTTTTATTTGGCCATGGGACAAGAAGAAGGATCCGAACAGTCACATTCTCCAGATAAGGTACACTGGGTCTGCAGGGAAAGAGCTGGTCTGCCGGGCACCTTCGCCGGCTGAGCGTCCTACACAGCATTAAAAGACGCCCCCCCCCCCCCACCGCGCCCGGCAATTCCTAGCAGACTTCAAGCTCTCCACTGTACTCACCCCATCTGACCTATTATGGTCATTTTATTACTCCATTACCCTCCTCCTCAGTAAGCTATAGTTGCTCACTGAATATTTACTGCTACAAGTTCAAATGTGATCCTGATAAAGTAGAAACAGGAAGGGCAAGTCAGTCACAAGAACTTCCCTGGCTTCTGTGGCTATTGCAGTACAGGGCACAACACTGGTCTCTTCTAAGGAGCGAGCAGGAGTGATTGCTGGAGCCACAGCGGCCGTCTGGGCCTACAGGAGGACGTGGTCTTAAAGACAGGCAGACTAGGCTGTTCCTCCCAAGGAAGCTGGAGGCATAAACAGCTAAAAATCCTGCCGTTTTAGCTCCCGTTATCTCCTCTAACCCGGCAAGGCTGTGACAGCGCATGCCTGCAATTTCTATGCCGTGGTTGAAGGCCAAACGAATCTCACGAGTTTTTAAGAGTATTATCTCATCCCACACCAGTCCCCAAGCTCTGTAGAAGACTTGTTTAGCTGTATTTGGATGTCCCACAAGCAAGGCCGTCACTGTGTTACTTGTAAGGAGCGACAGAAAACGTGTTCTCTGTTCTTGGTGGAGCTGGAAAATTGTTAATTTTCCAAACATCATGTCTTTCAAACACTATCATAGTTCTCTGTCCCATGGCTGGATCATCACCAAACGCTAGTGATGGGGTGATAACGTGCAGACAGACTAAACATCGCCCATATCGACCACATGCAAACAGCGTCAGCACGCTCAGCCTCCGGCCCCTCTTCCAGGTCTTCCTCACACCACCGGTGAGCGCGAGCCCACACACCCTGCTCCACAGGCTGAGCCCGTTGTGTCCACAGGGCTCCTCCCATGGGAAGGTCGGACAAAGCAGGTACAACCCCCATGCACACAGAGTAAAAAGCTGGGTCAGTTTATACTTTGAGTTTAGTCATTTGTTTTATGCTCGCACTGAGAAACCAAAGGGGATAAACTAGAGATTTCTAAGGCTGCAAGGCATAGGGCTGCACACATGTAATCCTAATACTCAGAGGAGATCACGAGGCCAAGAGCAACCCGCTATATAAAAAAACCAAACCAACGGCCAAGGCCTCTTCTGGAGTAGTCCTGGGACTATGGAGATTAAAGGAGCGCACACAACAGTCTACGCACCAGATGTGACGCGGCAGGATGTCTGGCACCCTTAGTGCCTCACTCTCTGTGCCAGCACCTTCTTCTGCGGCATGGAGTTGCCCACCTGGCCAGCACTGCCTTTTCAGACATGCGCTTTGGTCGCCTCTGCTTCTATTAGCTCATCAGCACCGCTGTTCCCAAATCTGTTCATAGTCCCCCAAGCTGCACAGCTTGGGTCATAGCTGACTTGGGAAGGAGCTCGAGTGGTGGCTGCACACGCCTAGCTCCATGCGACAGTAACAGCACTGCGACCCAAGTTCCTTCTGGACGGTCTCCACATGACACACACCCCAGGCCAGCACGGGCCTGGCCCATGTACAGCTCAGAGATGTCGCCCTGGTTCAGATCTTTCTGTGTGGTGATGGCGCAGTCCCTAGCCCTGCTCTGCCACCACCAGGCCTCTGACCAACAGCTACCATAGTGAGTCTGTGAAAAATCGTGATTTCAGGAAAAAATGTGAACACACGCGTGCAAAGTGTACAAAGTCTTTTCAACCAGAACACATATAACGGCTAAGAGATGCGCTTCTTCCTTTAAGCCTACATAAATAGCAAAACAAAATGAAACAGGAGAGACTTGGTGCCTCTGTCATTTGCCAGCTTGCCCACCAACCAATATCAGTGTCCCCAGAGCACCTACCAGATGGTAGAAGCCAGATGGCTTTCCTGCCACTCTGATTCCACTCCATGCATTCCTGTTGGGTGTAGCCCCGACCCAGGCCAGCAGCCACTGGGAAACACTGACGTCCCATCACCACGAGGGCTCAGCAAGAGCAGTCAGTGTTCGCATTAATGACCTACCCGTCGCTATCTGAGCCTGTGGGAACTCTCCTTTCTCCTCAGGAAGACAAGGCTAGCCCCATCACCCACCATCCTTCCTTTTTCCACGGGTGCTCACACAAACATGTCACCTAAGCCACCACAGGCTTGTTCATAGCACACGGTACCTCTTCAGAGTCTCCAGTGGCCTAAAAAGTACTGAGCCTCGGCCTCAACCTTGGGAAAAGTGAGTATCCATTTCATGTGGCCGACTCTCAGAAGAGATTTAAGAGTCTATCACCGTCAGCATCAGCACACGGGCCAAACACGCTGCATGAACATCTAACAGGACCCAAACCTGCCCTCCACCCACTTCCCTTCCAGGTTCACAGAGGGCTGAAGGATCTAGCTGAGGAGGTGACTGGGGAGCTGTTAACACTTAGAAAACTTCATTTCAGTCATACACCCCAGTTCCCGCCACATTACAGCTCAGAACTACAGTGCCCCTTGCTTAAGTCAAGACACCAGACTACAGAAGGCGTCTGTGCTTTTGTACCTGAATTTACAGACACTCTGAAATACAAGAAATACTTAATCAGATGGTTGTCCGAAGCAAAGTTAGGGCTAATCTGGCACAAAGATACCAATTTAGGACATTGTTTATAACCATACTTAGGGGTAGGCCCCATGACCAGGGGCTGGCCAACACTGAAACTCCAGGTGTTCCTGTAGACTTTTTGTTGTATACTGCTTTGTTGGTAGTTTGGCTTACATATTAGTTTCCAGTTTTTATGGGTTTTGTTTGTATGTGTATGTGTCTTCGTTTTTGGTGCCTTTTCTTTCTTTTTAAAAAATTCTGGTTTGATTTTTGTTTGTTTGCTGATTTGTATTCTATTGGGTGGGGAGGTAGGAGGAGTTGGGGAGGGAAAACTGATCTGACTCTATTGTATAAAAATTATTTTTCAATAATTGAAAAAAAATGTATTTTTAAAAAGTGGGGGCTGGAGAGAGAGCCCAGTGGGTAAGAGCACTTGTTGTTCTTGTACAGGACTTGGGTTTGCTTCCCAGAACCCACGTGGTGGTTCAACCAACCTGTAACTCCAATTCTGGGTGGTCAGATACCCTCTTCTGGGTTCTTTTGGCACTGTATGCACATGGTACACATACATACATGTAGGCAAAACCCCTCATACATGTAAAGAACAAATCTAAACCATAAAAAGATACTTTAAATAAGGCAAGACTTGGCAACAGCAGCACACTGCCTCCTATCTAAAAAAGAAATCTGCATTTGAGTGGGCCATGTGTCCGCCACAGTGGGAGGGGCTTTTGCCTAATGCTGAGAACAGGTGAACCAAGTCGTCAAATTTTCTCATATGCCTGGTCTACAGACATGAGGGCTGCTGACAATGCAGGGGATGGGACGGGCGGGAGCCTGGTCCCCAGAGAAGCCAAGTACTTACACAGCCTTCAGCAGAACTGTCGGGACTTCCAACCCTGAGAAGTAGCCTCGGAGGGAGGGAGCCAGCGCATCTGAAAAGACAGGAAGAGCGGTGAGCCGGGGGTCTCACCTCACTGTGGGTCCTCAGACCTCCTCACCACTCTGAGAGGGGTCCATTCACACTGGCCAGGGTGGGAATCCCTGCCCAGGACCTTCTGAGAAACATCACAGCAGCACCCCGAGAGACTTTCCATACCCCCAATGAGCATACCAGCCGAACTTACAGGGCAGCACCCACTTCAGCTGGCATTGGGGTCCCACCAACTACCCATCCTTGTCAGAGCTAACGGGCATGAAGAGGCCCAGGATGGCCCTGTGGGTTCTTCCCTTCCATACTCCCTTAGAAATACCTGAGCTGGGGAAAGCGGCCTAATGGTTTAAGCAAAACACCAAGGGAGGGGCACTACATGACTCACTCCTCCCTGGCGGGAATTGAACTTTCTCCAGAGCCTGTTTTCTCAGGAAAAGGGTCGGCTTCCTGATGTGGTGGGATATCTGGAAGACCAGGCTGTGTTCACAGTGCCCTAGGGCCTATGCAAAGAGCTAAACCCAGGTCAACAGCAGAGCTGTCTCTCCCAAGACAAGCTAACACCACCAGGCTGAGGGTGCCTTCTCCACCCAGCAGACCGCGCCGGGTCATGTCATACAAAACGTCAACAACAAAAAAGGCATGAGCTTTGCGTTCTTAGATACCCGTACATCGACAACACCAGTTTTGTCTCTAACCCGTGGGGCACCTGTGGGCCAGCCTCTAAACACAAAACCAAGCTTAGCCTTGAGGGGCTAGAGAGGTTCAGCAGTCAAGAGCACTGGCTGTTCTTCCAGAGGTCCCGAGTTCAATTCCCAGCAACCACAGAGGTGGCTCACAACCATCTATAATAGAATCTGATGCCTTCACATGTTTTGGCACGAGGTATACATGCAGCACTCACACATAAAATATGAGTAAAATTTTCAAAAAATTAGCCTTGAATCCCCGATCTACTTCCAGAGAGCAGGGCTTACTCTACTTGCTCCTCTTTCATTAAGTAAGAGGGACGGCCTCCCACTGAGAGCAGTGAGCAATGGAAGATGCTGCTGGAAACAGAGAGGGGGATGCGAATGACAGCAACAAGGGGACACTTGGGAAACGGTGACAGAACCTTGTCACACGGCAGGAGATTTGCTCAGGCTCAAACACCAAGACATAGCAGAAGCCATTTTGGCTAAGGTGGAGGTGCAATGGGCCAGAGGGAAATTAAAGACAACCCTAAGACTCCGCGGGCTTGGGGTTAGGGGAAATCTGCCCATTCCTCTTTCCCATGTGTAGGAAGCAACCAGTCCCAGAGTCCTGCTCAGGACGTAGAAGCAGGCTTCGCTGGATCCTGCTAACCTGACTCTAAGGGCGGAGAAACCAAGAAATCGGGTCCTGGGGAGAAGTTAGTTCTTGCACTTTTGCAAAAAGTGCGCTGGTCCCCAAGCAGTCCTTGGGGTTTCCAGCCAACTCAAGGACTCCCTGATAGTAGCCACACCCCTTACTGTCAGTGTAGGACAGGAAGGCCACACTGGGGAACCACGCCTACTAGGCCCATGTGGCGGGGAGACTTCTGCTCTGACTGGGACATATGCGGCTCCAACAAAACTGAAGGAAACGCTGAGAAGGAGCTGTGAGCTGCTGGTGCATTGGCATCTACCTCAAGGTGTCCCTTGGGCTATCTGTATATGAGGTGTCCTCTGGGGACCATGTCAGATGTGATTTCCAGAAAGCAGAGACCTGCAGGCCCAAGGACCAAAAACTGCGGGGGTAAAGCCACGTTGCCTGAGAGGCCTTAGAGCTCCCAAGGGTCCTTGAAGAGAGGCCACCGCTCATGGCAGGAAGGGTTGAGGGATCAGAAACTTGTCCTTGAAGACAGACTAAAGACTCACACCTGAGTGTCTTCTCTAGGACCAAGGGAGCTAACAAAATCACGAGGAGAAAATGTGGGAAGGCGGGGGTGGGTGGGGTGGGTGTAAGGGGTTGGTGATGTGGGAAGGCTAGAGACAGGAGCGGAGGTGGGGGAGGGGCTGGAGACCAAAGAAACCAGTACCTACCCTTGGCTCCCGGCTCCATCATCTGTGTCCATTTGCTCTCTAAGTAGAGAGCAAAGTTGGCGCTGCCTTCCCAAGTCAGCTGGGAAGGGGCGGCCTAGGGGCCAGGGCCCTCAGGCAGGGCACGCTGGGAGCCTGAACCTAAAATGGTCCATGTGCACTGGGTCAGTGTGGAGCGGTGGTGGCAGCTGTGAGGCCTTGGTGTGAGGTGGGGACGTAGGGCCCTGAGGCCGACATGGGATGGTGTTCACTGAGAGGACACAGGAATGGCTGGTGGGGACAGTGGGCTGCAGGGCAGATGGCATGGGTCTGGGACTGGTGAGGGTGGCTGTGAAGAAAGAGGCCTCCTGGCCGTCTGTCTGCCGCTCTAGCCTCTCTAGCCGCCTCTGGTTCTGGAGTTCCCCCTCCCCACCCTCCATAGACACACACGTGCACACACACCCAAGATCACACGGTAGCTGACTGAGAAAGGATGGACTCCCAAGCTCCTCGCGTGCGGTGCACAGCTGGGACTCCAGAGAGTGCTTTCCAAAATGTGGCTCCTGCAGCATTCCAGATACCTGAGGCACCCCACCTTCCAGCAGGGGGCAGTGCCTGCAGGCCAAACTGAGCAGCTCCCTGTTCTCGTAACCAGAGAGAGGCAGAGTCCGAGGGGGCACAACCGGGAGTGTGGGCAGCTAGCCCAGGAGAACAAGCTGTTTCGTGCTGATCACTACACTGTTTGGAGGATGGCAAGAAGGTTCACCTTTACCCCCGCTTGGGCTGTTTGCTCTGCTGTAGCTTTTGGCCCCAGATCACTCCTGTCCAAGCCCTGGACAAGATGCTTCTGACTTCTCGTTACCACTGCTGGGACCAGAGGCTTCCCCAGACTTCCTCAAAGTAGCCCATGGAAGAAGAGCTGGCCTCAAGGGTCATCCCGGTATTTCTGCCCCGTAGAAGCATGTACACGTGTATACACACACACACACACACACACACACACACACACACACACACACACACACA